TTCAACAGCCACACCAAAGCCAAATATTTAAAGGCCATGCATGTATAAGAACTGAAACAGTTGAACAGCTATATGACCAAAAAGGATATAATAGACAACTCCATCTAAGGTTCATTTGCCTGAAAAAGTTATGAACTGTTGAGATGTGTTTCCCTGCTGAAAACTTTTAGTAATGAAAATATAACATTCATTGCAATATGAAACGTCAGTTCAAACCCATGGCTATTGAACCTACTGAGAAATAAGATCTCTTTAAGAAGGAGCCAGATGGATTATTCCCTTTGAGTATTATGTATCCTTTTCTTGTTTGAATGATACACATATGAACATCTTATTTTGACAATTCGGTACTTAATCGTTAGTGGATTTCTTCATACACTACTGTCGATGATGTTCCTTAACGAAGTGTTTAGATATTGGTATACGTTTAATCAAGTTAAAATATTGATATATTTCATTACATTACTAGGGACATTCTAGGATTGTCAAAGTTATTTAAGGACTTTTGTAAATAATAAAATGTAGCAAAACAAGAACAATCACTTATGTAATCTATGTTTAAAAAGTTATCACGAAAATCTCTGTCATCAAATCTGTGGTTTTTCTGTAAGAACCCTTAGCCTGATTTGTCGATTTTTCACAAAATCACTATTTTTCATAAAGTTTCTGTTTAGTAATAGTCGAAATGGTACGTCTCTTTTCTCAGGATCATTGCTGTTTTAATATTTTGCGCTACGAAATGTCGTAATAAACAGGCATATTGAAGGTGTCAAAAACCTTACAGAAAAAAATACACAATGGGGAAGGAAAAGCCTTCATCAATTTACCGTAACCTATTTCTGTTTGAAATTAAATAGATACTGTTAAGGTTGGATTAAGTAAGAATAATGGCAATGATTTAATTCATAAATTTAAAAAAAACGGCATTATTTAAACAGATATGACCATCTTAATATATGTAGGTATTATTTGAATATCTATCAAGTGGAGTATCGTTAATTCCTTTAAAATTCAAACAGCTCACTTATTATTGCCAATCAGATTTTCAGTATTTTTCAAATACCCCCCAGTACACTGTCATTCCCCTACAGCCGAAAAAAAATGTCGGATGGCAAAATCAAGCAAAATTCCAAATAAAAACATAAAAACAATAAAACGAAAAACAAACGTGTTGTTTTTCTGCGTCTGGTAGCTTTCATTGATTGACCTACATTCGGAATAACCAGAGACAAACATTGGGAAATTTCAATACGCATGAATATATTTGAAGCTAAATATAACCATTCAGTAGACAATTTATCAAAATGTTTTAAAACATGTTTATGTCAAAAGATTTTCTATTGGACCATTGTGGACGATTGGTAACATCGGAAAGTCCATCGTCAGTGGTTTTACATCAAATAAAAGTAAACATATCCATTCAAATGTCAGGATTTTATGAAATATAAGTTTGAATGCTTCCTAAGCTTTTTGGTTCATATTATCCTGACATGCACTGACTTTTCTCCCATTTTGAAGACATCTTTTTGCTCAAATCAGTTTTCCACAATTTGTGGTTAAATTGGTAAGTTTAAACCATATCATGTACATTCTTTTAATGTTAATTCCTTTGAAATAACATTTGATTTACAGACATGCATGTACACATGCAAGCATCAATGTAGTTTATGAATAGGTTTTATCTTTTACAGAATCTTTTAAAGTTGGAGCGATAGTTGGTATCTCAGTTGGAATAACAGGCACACTAATATTAGTTCTTGTTATACTGGCCATTATTTACGAATGCAAACGAAGGTAAATCTATTTTCGTTTGTAACACCACATTTAAATATACCAGTGACAAATTCTCGTTCCAAAGGAATATTAAATTATCAAAAACGAATGGACATTGCCATGGAAAAAATAAAATGACCCAAAGACAAACAGCATTCTACAAAACAAAACATAGAAAGCTTATGCATGAGCAACACGAACCCAACCAGAAACGGGGGGGAGGGGGGGGGGGGGGGTTGATGATTTCAGATACTCCGGAAGGATACACAGATCCTGCTCTACATGTGTCATCCGTCTTGTTGCTCAAGTAAACGCGTTTTGGTGATAAGTATAATTAGGAAATTCTCATTCGAGGGAAAATAGACAGGATTGTGATTACGACAATTAAAACATATTCGTCGTCATCTGTGAAACATCTGTAATGTTTCTACATAGAAATTAAAAGTTCAAATTTGGGAAGCTGAAATTTTTTTGTCCTAAAATGTTGTATTCAACCGACCATCATTGTTCATTTCTAGATGTTAGACATGATATGAGGCCGACTTAACTATATCTGTTGTATCTGTTGTATCCTTTTTTCAAGCTCAATGAAATAGATGCGTTAGACATAATCACACAACTTTGAATTATTTAGTTAGGGGACATCATGTATAAAGTGGAACTTGAAGTTAAAGGTTAATGCTAGCTTATTTGCATTTTTCGTTAGAAGCTTATGAAGTCTGTCTCTTATGAATATAAGAAAAAGTCGTCAAGAAGAGGAGCACAGTTGATTGTGCTATTGGACACTTGCTATCAAAGAAGACTGCACGATTTAGTTTTAATTTTATAACTGATTGACAGTTGATACTGTTAAATTTCAGTTGTGAGTCACTATATAAAACTTTTCGTTGAGTAAGCGGAGCGAATGCGGTCAAAAGGGCTTAATATTGTGTGAAGACAATCATATTTTACGATATATATATATGATGAAAATCTGTATTTGTAATAAAAAAAAACAATCAATTTGTTATACCAACATACATAATTTTGGGTCAAACTTATTAATGTACGGTTAGGTTTAACCACTGGCGTATGACAAAAGCGGAGCAGAGTAGGTCAGTCGGATAAGAAACCGATAAATAAACCATTGTCGTGACGTCAGCATATTCATTTGACGTGGAGTCTTTTTCTATAACCGAATCTGTCGCTGAAATGATCTCACCAAATTATCTTCAATTGTTTCCTCTGTGTGCCTAGTTTCATAAAGTTTGATTTGGCTATTTGGCTAATTTACTGATTTCTGTTCACTAATGGAATTACTTTAAAAACTTACCTTCAATTTTAGTAATTTTGATATGCCTTTACTGAGAATCGAACCCCTCCTTTATGTGAGACTGACATCAACACATCGACGAAATCTCTAGGCTACCAATGGGTTGCAACTTAGAAGTCTATTTCATATATTTAGACTATTTTATGATACACATCGGTACAACGGACACACAAGGCTTGTGCCTTTCTATATACATAATAGGCAATCGAATAGTATAACTTGGAAGCCGCGAGGTTAACATAGTTACGATCAATGCGTTAATGAGTCAATATAAAGGAGACTCTTGTCGGTTCAGGTTCGAATCCCTGACTTCTCTTTGATGTCTCTATTCTTTAGTTTTTCGATTTTTTTTATTTTGTTTGTTATTGTGGAAATGTTTGGAACATCAGCAGGTTTCTCCGTTTAGTTTTATATTATCAATGGCTATTTCATAATTTAAAAAGAAAATGATTACATGCAATTTGTTCATTTTTGTTTTATAAATGTAGTAATATTTCATCTGTTTTATTACATATCTTTACAAATGTATATTCGCAAATCCCTATTCAAGTAAATCGTAATGTGCCTAGAATTAGGCTTCTGGCTAAGCATTTCGGTAGCATACTTAATACAGGTACGTAGAAATAAGTTCGAATATGTCTTATTTTATAAATTACGGATAATATTCAGATGCCTGATAACTTAGAGACAGACTTGTTATGTTATATTTGTATTTCTCTAACCGATTAATAGTGAACTTAGATTTATTAATGCAGCATTGAACATATATGCATGAAACCATGGTATCTTAACTCAATTGCAAAACCTTCTAATTCAGAAAAGGTTTTAATTTTGAAAATACACCAACACAATAGTTTAAGTAAGAGATACAATTGATAAGCATTGATTCATTGTATCGATAATACATAATCGTTCCCGTAAACCCAAAGCAAGACTGTCAAAAAGTACAACGTTTTGCATCATCTTTAATCTAATAGGTAACTTCCAATAATATTTTAAAATTTGGCATGTAATACATTTGAAGAAATAAAATGAATGATTGTGCTTCGTTTTTTTTTATTTAGAAAAGAGAAATATTGGAACAGCTGTCCTTAGTTCTCTTTATTTGTTTTTCATACCATCTTCTTGAAAATGGAAAACAAAATAACGGTCTTAAATTAATGTTCATGTAAGAAATGACACTTAGGTAAATAACAACCTTTCGGAACTAAATGTTTGATCCTTAACAAAAAATATTAGTTGTAATATACATGATAATATTATATAACTAACACATAGCTGAGAGGGTGATAGAGCAGATTGTTACCCCGAGAAAACATTGTCAACCGAGGAGAAGCCAAGGTTGACAATGTCTTTTCGAGGGGTAACAATCTGCTCTATCACCCTCTCAGATATGTGTTATTTAATTTATTATACTGAATGTTCTGTTATTACTGTCGATTAAATTTCAAATTCAAAGTAATAAACTATGACGTATTGTACATAACAACCATCCGTATTTAATAAAGCGCACACTTGATCAAGCGTCTCCATGAAGGGTAATAGAGTATTTGCCATAGGATAGAGTCGTATCTAATAAAGCGCACACTTGATCAAGCGTCTCCGAGAAGGGTAATAGAGTATTTGCCATAGGATAGAGTCGTATTTAATAAAACGCACACTTGATCAAGCGTCTCCATGAAGGGTAATAGAGTAAATTAACACCCTCGTATTAGCCAATCAAAATCTGGGATTTTGACATGAAGTATAATAAAGATATTTATGTATAATAGTCAACGATCAGATATCAAATAAGATTTCACAGCATTTTCTTCACAAACATTCTTATGCTTTCAAAATTACATACCTTTCAAAATGTAAATACATTTTGCCTTTTTTTCTTATTCTCAGTTATTATATATATATTTTTTTAAAGATCAAAGAAAAAGAAGAGAAAACAACTAGCAAGACAACAGTCTATCGACCAAAGATTTGAGATGGCACATCTTGAAAGTGGTACCTCCGGTACAAACAATGAAGAATACAATATTCCTTCTACGAACAAATCTTTAAATGCTGACGAGGCACAAGGCGAGTACTTCGTTCTCGATCCCTCCATTACGAAATATGATAAAGACTTGAGCAACCGGAAATTACCAGAAATTACAAGGTTTAGTGGTGCAGAGGGTGACGAGAATGTTTACTACGAAATTGATGAAGATAAAATCGAATCCTCGACAGATATGGAGGGAGTTCACCAGAAGAAAATAGAAGAAGTTAGGGATCAAGGTTTTCATAATAGAGATTTGGCCATAAATCAAACACAATTAGGGTATGTCAATTCATATTTTCGCATGTGAATTGGTTTACGTTTTGTTATGTCTGGATCTTTTACAGCTTGCTATGCTGTTGGTTTTGCTCATTGATGATGGCGTACGTTGACCTATAGTTGCTAACATCTTCGTCCTTAGATTTATTTGGCATATTTGTCTCATTGCAATCAAAACACATCACTTTATGTTATATTCGAATTGTGCTGAGTAGGAAATATTCCTCAATATCCAAATGACAGAAATCTGATAATTGATTTATCGGAGTATACTTATTTTTTTTCATGATTGAAACAATAGTTTTATTGTTTTTCAGCAAACGAGAATAGAATGTTGGGTCGATCATTAAGGCCCGGTGATAAATCCAAGTTAAATTTGTTGACGTATGGTCTTGCTTGTTTCACGTGTCAAAGCCGTATTATTTAATTTCAATAGCTGAGCACAGTGAAAGAGTCAGAGGGAAGACCAATTAATTTAAAGTAGCGACGAACTACAAGAGCGGTTGGCAAAAAGTACAATTTGATGTCCAATAATAAAATAATTTATTTAGGTGTTGGGTCGAAAACTTTGGTAAAAAGATATATATGAATGTGGTACGATTTATAATGTTAAAAAGCAAAATAAGAAATAAAGGAGATCATTGAAGCAATTGTTCTTATTTTTGTTTATGTATAAATCATTGTAAACCATCCACTTACATTTTCATTAAAAAATGACGGCCACAAATGAACGATAAATTGAAATAAAAAGCTTTTTATAAAATATCATCTTTTTATTATAAATATTATTTGATATTTATGTCTGTATTGCAAATTTGGTGATACGAGAATTAGAAAAAAAAGCCGTTAGATTTTGAAAACTGAAATATATATTCCGTCATAGCTTATGTTCACGGCATTGAACTTGCATATTTTTCACAACCATTCGTATGCGTTTGTAGTAAGATACCTTTTTTTTCTATTTACAATTATTACATTTTATTTTACAGATCAAAGAAAAAGATTACAGAACAACTAATAAGACCACAGTCTGTTGAGCAAAGAACTGAGATGGCAAATCTTGAAAGTAGTCACTCCAGTACAGACATGGGAGGAAACACTATTCTTTCTGCGAATAAATTTTTAAAAAGGGACGAGGCACAAGGCGAGTACTTTGTTCTCGATCCATGCGTGACGAACTATGATAAAGAATTGGTTTTACCAGAGGTTAAAAGAATCAGTATTGCACAGGATGACGAGAAAGTTTACAATAGAATTGATGAAGATAAAATCAAATCCTCGACAAATATGAAGTTAGACCACCAGAAGCAAATGGAAGAAGCAAGGGATATAGCTGTTTACCATACTGATCTGACCAACAATCAAAACCAATTAGGGTTTAAAAATACAACTTATAATGTGACATCAGAGGTAGATGATTTAATCTACTAGGAGACAAAAAAAACAGGCGGACATATATATTGGTGTTCATATGTATCATATAAAAATTGTTTACTTTACCATTTTGTCTATATAAAGTCTAAGATTCATTGACATTGTTTGCTATAATGACAACCAAGGACCATTTATAATAGATTTGTTTACGATGAAGAATATACTTAAAGCCAATTTGTTTAGCGGAATCATCATGAGTTTATCATTGTCAGGCAAAAATATTGAAAAAATTTTCCTATTATTTATTTTGACTTGATAGTAAAGATTACTTAACCTTTAATGACAATTGTCCTTATTTTTGTTTATGACAATCTATTTTTAAGTTTACACCTGCATTAATTTTCATATTAACGCCATGAAGATACAACCAAAAAGGGCTAAAATTGTATAGAATTTACTAAAAACTGGTAACGCATATTAAAAAAACACTGTTTGGAAAATTGTTAACATTATATTTTTTAATAAAAGGATTTTAAACATCTTGTTCGTTTGATTCCTGATAACTTTCCACATTGTTAAACGTTCTATTGATTTCTCAATATTTACCACAACCACGTGTGGTCTTCTCTGACGCCTTACTCAGACGTTATGTTTCTAGCAAAGATGTCACAATACTGGAAATCATTTTCAAAATAAAAGATGGTCCTATTTTGTTTGAATGCTTTAATGAGTATACACTTTGATAAATGGCAGTGTCAGTTTCAAATCAAGTTAGTCTCAGAAAATGAACATGACTCTAAGGAACCAGAAGAAGAATAAAATAGATTGTTACGACCAGAAATCACCTTTAAATTGTAGCCAACAAAAGACACCAATCAATATTAAAATTTAACAAGACTTATTATACACAAGTTTACAAATATTATACAAATCGAAATGTCAAATTAACTGTTAAAACATATATGTCCGATCATTTTGTCTTTTCTTTATCCGGAATTCTACTCTTAAAAAAAATGAAAACAACACGTTTAATAATTTCATGCGTCCGAAGCGCTTTTCTGGATTTACCTTCATCAGGAACGCTCAAAGCCAAACATTTGAAATCGGAGGGATGTATCGAAGTACCGAAACAGTTGAAGATCTATATGACAAAAATTCCTAAAACAAATAGCCAAATCCATCAAAGGTCAACTTTGCCTGAGGGAGTTGTAACCTTAGTTTCTTAGTTAACTGTTGCGGGAATCCAAACAGAATATTATGTTCAATAATTCACAATCTAGTATGATGTAGTTAACGTAAATAAAAGTGTCAATCCAACTGAGAGAACTTCTGAGAATACCAGTTTATTAATGTCTACTCTGAGAGTCTTACTTTAGTGTCTGTATATATATAGTTATCACGGAAATCTCTAGAAGACTGTAGAAGGGAAACTCATAGAATACGATAGAAGTTTAAATTACACATCGTAGATTATGATCATTCCAGAATTATTATGTAAGTCAAATAGAAAGTTCTTGTCATTCCATCAGTATCTACGATTGTTCCAGTGATTTCTAAACTGCACAGCTTTATATTTTGTAAACAACTTTAAGTAATATGTAAACATATTATACATGTTATAAGGCCACACAACTCAAATTAGGCCAATATAAACATAATAATCACAATATCATAACACCTCCTTCCTTAAAAAAAGTTTGAGTGTAATAAGAACTTTACATGAACAATATATACAAAAATACATAGTATGTTTACAGTATTTTGATAAGATCTAGATAAAGCATATGCTATTACATCATCTTTACCTTTAATATGTTTTACAAGAACATCATATTCCTGTAACTATAAACTGCACCTAGTCAACCTCTGGTTCTTGTTTCTCATTTTATGTATGAAGGTGAGAGGATTATGATCAGTATAAACAAGAATAGGATACATAGTGGGATTTAAATATACATCAAAATGTTGAAGTGCAGACAATAGTGCAAAGCACTCTTTTTCAATAGTTGAAAGAAATTTCTGATGTTTATCCAATTTCTTTGGAAAATATGAAATAGGTTTCTCAACATTATCATCTGTTTCTTGATATAAAACGGCTACAACTTCTACATCACTTGCGTCAACGGCAAGTTTGAATTATTTTTCGAAGTATTGAGTGATCAGAACAGGACTGTTACTGAAAAGTGATTTGCTATTTTTAAAAGCGTTTTGACAATTATCACTCCAGATGAATTTAGAATCTTTCCGTAAAAGATAGGTCAATGGTTGAACAAAGGTAGCAAATTTGAACAAAATTTTCTGTAAAATCCAATCATGTGCCAAAATATCTGATAAGTTGTTTTTTATTTGTAGGAGGAAAAAAAATGGTAATTGCATCCGCTTTAGCCTTAATAGGTTTTACTTGACCTTGGCCAACTGTATGCCCTTAATAATCAACAGTGGCCTGACAAAATTCACTTTTATAAAGATTAACAGTCAAATTTGATTGTGACAATCTATCAAAAGTATGATATAAATGTGTAAAATACTCTTTCCAGCTATCACTACATACAATAAGATCATCAATATAAGCATGACAACAGTCTAAATCTTTTATAACATTATTGATCATTCTTTGAAACGAAGCTGGAGCACTTTTCATACCAAACGGCATGACAGTATACTGAAATAAGCCGTCTGGTGTCATAAAAGCTGATATTTCACGAGCTCTCTGTGTCAAAGGTACCTGCCAGTAATCTTTCAATAAATCAAATTTGCTCACAAAGTTTGCTTGCTCAACATTATCAATGCAATCGTCTATCCTTGGAATCGAATCGGATAGAAATCAGATTTTGAAACTGAATTTTCTTTTCTGAAATCAGTTACGAAACGAAAGGTTTTATCAGGTTTGGGCACAAGGAAACAAGGAGAGCTCCATTCACTGTTACTCGGCTCAATAATATCATTGTCAAACATATATTGAATTTTTTGTCTCACAAATTCAAGTTTTAGTGGATTGAGCCGGTAAGGATGCTGTTTAATTGGAGAAGCATCGCCTACGTATACATCATGACAAACAGCAGTGGTTTTGTTTGGCACATCTGGAAAAAGATTTTTAAAAGAGAATACCAAAGTTTTTAATTTTTCTCTACGTTCAAAAGTAAAATGTGCAAGTTTTGAGTCTAAATTTAACAACATTTCTGAATTTTTCAATCTAACTGTTTGTTCCATAGTCTTTGAATCAAAAGACGGTTCAATTATATGTGGATTGTCATGATCGTTCTCCAAGTTAACCGTGGCTAAAGTGGCAACTATCAATATGACACACTTTATTTTGTTTGCGCCGACCTAGAGTTTTTCAATATAGTTCAAATCATTAATTTTACTCTCTACTGTATAAGGACCACAGTTTTTAGCCTGTAAAGGGTGTCCAAGGACTGGCAAAAATACAAGTACCTTATCACCAGGCTCAAAAACTCTGTCCCTGG